TGGCTAACACAAAGACCGAGACCTGCCAGTAGCTGTGCCTCCCTTTCTCATCGTCCCCCACCCTTCATCGAGTAGCAGCAGAGGCTATGGCCAACACTCTACCACACACCACACGCAACCCACTCGCGCTCACACTCACACCCGTGTTGGTCATAGACCCCGCTAATACCGATCAGGGGTATCCAGAGGACTATCACAGTCCGATGGCACTAAGTGCGCTGCAGGCGGCCATGGGGCTTGAACCCACAACCTCCTGAATGCCACTTGCATGCCTAACCAACTGAGCTAGGCCGCTGGATAGTTTTTTTTTTTCTACTGGGATTTTTTTTTTTTTTTTTTTTTTTTTTTTTTTTTACATGCGGGGTGCTTGCCCTCAGCAACCAAGCTACTCAGATAATTCCGATTGGTCCGTGTGAGGTCAAGGCTGTGGCGCGTGAGAGGCGGCCGTGCCGCCGTGTAGTTTTGCTACGAAATGAAAAACTCTGAAGCCAAGGCAGTCTTCAAGAAGGAATCCTGGTGTGCCGTGGGGTCATTATGGAAACCATCTGGAACGCACGGAACAAGGCAGTCTTCAAGAAGGAATCCTTATCTTTCCACAGCCAAGTTGCCCTCATTAAGAGTGGCATCAGAAGATCTGTGATTTTAGACTGGCAGAACAGGGGCCAAACCCGCAGTAAAGGTCGGTATTGGTTCATGCAGACGTGGGCAAAAGACAAGGCTTTTCGACTGAAGGAAAACTGCAGTTGGCTAGTTGGCTGCAACAGGAAGACAGTGAGGCTTTACCCTCTGTGGTAACTCAGAGACCGTGTTAGGTCTGTTCTGATTTAATTTTGTTTTCAGCTACAGTATTGGTAGGAGCCCAGATGGGCGAATAATGTAGTTACAGGGTACTTTTTCAGTAAGTTCGTTCCGCGGCTCTGTACACTGGATGTGGTAGAATGGCTTGTTTTGTCTATGTACTTTGTTATTTGTTTAGGTAGGGAGTAGAAGTAGGCTAGAAGAATGTTTTTTAGAAGTAGGTCCATACACCTGAAGTAGTAAAAAAATTTAGATGGATGTGTACCGATGGGGATTGGGTCGTTTTTAGTCCCACTGAAAAAAAAAAAAAAAAAAAAAAACCTTAAAAAAAAAAAAAANAAAAAAAAAAAAAAAAAAAAAAAAACCTTAAAAAAAAAAAAAAATCCGAAGCAAACTACACGGTGCAGTCCTCGTAGGTAGGTGGAAATTGGGCCTCGCTGCACTACTGTCCACATGCACAAAAGACTGAAAAGATGGCAATGTATCTTTCCATGTTCTAGCGGTGGATTCAGTCTCACTTTGCACATTTGGAGAGTAGTGCAGCTACTAGGCGGCTGGGCCCATTGAGGAAAAGCCCGCCAAGCAGGATCTCGGTGGTGGCGTGGATGTGATGTTCCTGGCAGCTGCATCATTCAGAGAAGATGCTGCAGACAAGCTCATGTGAAGGAAAGCACACTTAGCACAGCGCAATTGACTATCGGGGCATGCTTGCAGTAAGATTTTTTTATTTCTATTTTTTTTTTTTTTTTTTTTTTTTTTTTTTTCCCCCCAGCAAAGAGGATGGGATCGGATCGAATGGCATTGCCTGAATCTGGACGAGATTATGGAGATGTGCAGGAAATCCAGATTGAACTGCTTTTCTGCATCTCTGCATAAAACACATCCAGATTCAAGACCTCGATCCTATCCTTTTTGCTAGTTGGACCTCGGCCCTGGAGACAGCTTGAGGTGCTGGTAGGAGCAGACACATCAAGCTGGCCTCGGGGAGACTCCATCAATTGGTGGGGAGCTGCACCCGCTGGGAAATTGGCCCAGCGTCCCAATTACAAAATCACAGATGTGACGGTGGCGGCCTACGGGAGTAGCCTCCGCGTAGCGCAAATTCTCATCGCGCTAGTTCGCGTTACCAGTTACCGCCCGCTAAGGTGAAACTAGCATGACGGCAGCCGGGAGTTTCCGTTACTGAAATCACGTCGGTAATTTCCGTTCGCCACCACCGTGGGAGCGGAGCGACGAGCGAGTGTATGCCATATCCCACTCGCAAAGCTCCCCCCATGGGGCCGAGGGCGATGGCTACCGTCCGAGAAAGTGTTGCTGTTCCATCTCCGCCTTGAGTGGGGGAGAGAGTGCCTTTGTGCTCCGGAGCAGCAGCATCCCCATGGCTCTCGGGCCCAGCCTTACACACACACACCATTGATGTAGTACTGCTTCTGAGGGTATTACAGGAAGAAGCTTGGAAGATTGAAGCGGCGTAACGGGATGCAGTGGGAGAGCGTGCCGTGGCGGTGGGAGCGCTTCAATAGACTCAAGCATCTTCGGCAGATATCTCATCACAGAGACGTCAGATCAGACAAAGGGGATGCATTCACATCTCTTCTGGGCGAACAGAGAATCATGAATTCTCTGCCGACTTCAATGTTTTTGAAGCTACACGTATAATACCTGCCATTCAGATATATCTTTTCATCTACTACTTAGTTAGTATCTGATAGTTTTTTAGGTTATATCCAACGAGTCATACTTTAGCTTCGAGTCGTACTTTTGGCTTCTTCGTTTATTCCCTTACTTCAAGTTCATAATGCCCAGAATTTTACTTCTCTCCCCCCCCCTCCCCAAGTTAGTCATGCTATTCCCCATGTCTCTGGTCCTGTTCTTGGTTGCATTCATCCGTTTCTCTTTGCATTCAACACTCTGTACTCGACTAGTGGCTGGGGTAATCCAAATTGTTTTCGGTTGAATAGTCGGGATTCCACAAGGTAGATATTATCTGAAAACCAGTACGCACTTGCCACATCTTTAGGGTAGATTCATCAACCTTTTCACACGTGAGAATACTCGTCCACAACTCTTGACATTAGGGTGTGGCCTGTTTGCTCTGTTTTCTTGGTGTTCCGACCTTGTTGTAGATGGAATGGCTCTGAAATTTGCCCGCCAAAAAACTTGGAGGCTATCTGCCGCAGCCCTATTCTATAAGCAGTAGCTCTGGCCAGTCGAGGTTCATTTGAGTATTTCATTTGGTTGGTCATAGCATCCATAGTTTTTGTGAAAAGAAAGTACAGTGGTTTATGACTGGAAATGAAGGAAATATGGTGATACGCGTGGAATTGCTAATTACTGTAGCCGCACCACCTTGTCCAGTGAGAGTGTAACAAGGGGCGGTGGGAACATTACTGGTTAGATGGCACGAGAGAACCGGTGAAGGGCAAACTTGAGTTGTATCCATTGCGATGGCATTATCATGAAAGTCCAAGGGTGCGTGGTGGGAAACCCAGGCTCTTTACAGGGTGTTGGGACAGTGTGGGTGAAAGGGTAGCTCACCACAGCGGCTCATGAGTGTGAGAACAAGGCAATCCTTACTACAGTTGAGGGTGAAACCCACGGAATTACTAATAGCGGCGCCATTTTGAGCAGTGGGAGGGTATCAAGAGGCGGTGGGAACGCTATGGGTTAGGTGCTATGAGAGAACAGGTGAGGAGCAAACTTGAACTGTACCCATTTTGTCTGCAAAAAACGAAGGTCCAAGGGTGCGTGGTGGGAAACCCGTCATGGCAGATCAGGCTCCTTACAGGGTGATGGAACAGTGAGGGTAACAGGGTCGTCCCTGCAGCTGTGAGCCGATCAGTGTCGGTTCAGTCAATGAACTGCTGTATGATTGTTTTTGGAGATTGGTTGGTCCGAAGGGTTGCATTTCGTTTTTGAAAATCGATTGGCAATAGTTATTGCAGACTTGCAGATGGAAATTGGCTCGTGGTTAAGGGCCGGAGTGTAGACTGGTTGTGTATTTTGGTATCGTTGTTAGATCTTCCAGTGGAAGTTTTTCAGGAGATTTTGCTTCCAGTGGAAGTTTTCTCAGGAGATTTTGGTGAGTCGCAGATAGACTCCCACGAAGCGAAGCCGGGTAATGCTCCCGGACATGAATGTCTGTAGGATCATGGATAGAGAGATAGCTCGTCCCTTTGTGTCTTTTGGTAGACTTCAATTGGCTATTTTCCTCCTTTTTCTTCAGAAATAGCAAGACTGTTGATAGGAGCATGGGACACTGGACCCGGTTTCCAGTTAGCCTCTCTGAGGCTTGGTTTATCCTCTGTCCGGGTTGAGATGTGGAGGGATTCCCGGCCTCCTTTTGCCTTTATCATGAAAAACTATGCTATTTCTCAAAAAATAAAATAAAATAAATAAATAAATAAAAATCACAGATGTTATACAATGTCTCATTAGTAGCATGAGGGGGGCACCCCACTTCGGGCCATGAGCAGAGCGGCCGATGCGGACATGCGTTCCCAGGCCAGGCCCCCCTCAGAGTGTAGTGCAGTGCATCTCGTGGCTGCAGTCAGCAGTGCAGTATGCCATCGCAACTTCCACATCGTAGTCTCACGGCCCTGTAAACCCTGTCTGTCAGGCATCGTAGACCACGCAGAAGTTGCAGATGTTGCACAAGTGAGGTAAGACTTCTTAACTTATGGGATAAAACGTTGGAGAAGTGCAGCTGGCTGTCATCACAATTACATGCCACAATGACATTCTGATCAACACAAGCAACTAAAATGTTAAGGGACGCTGGACCCGCTTTCCTGTAGGTGGTCCTCCCCACCAATAGAAGTGCAAAGAAAAGAAGGGAAAAGTTATAAAACCTCCCCGTGACGAAACCTTCGTATTCATTTCCTCACAACAGGGGCAAAAAGTGCCGCACCCTGTAAAACATAATTTTCCTTCCATTTTTGTACAGCGGGCGTTACCGTCCCAGCCAGAGTGCAAAAATGACACCTAAAGTCATTTGGGGGTCTGCAACACTTTTTGCCCCGTTTGGGGGGAAACGAATACTGAGGTTTCGTCGCCGGGAGGTTTTATAACTTTTCCCCAAAAAAAAAAGAGTGCAGTTTCAGTTTCGGCCTGTGATCCAGCCGCAGAGCTCAATTGGTTAGGCATGCAGGTGGCATTCAGGAGGTAATAGATTCAATCCCCATGGCCGCCCATATTACTCT